AGTCTGGACGCTACACAGAAGAGAATAATCTTGCCTCCGCCGGGAATTGAACCCCAGCCCGAAGCCCGTCGCTACGTCGACTAAGCTAGATTATTAGAAATGAAAATTGTTTCAAAACCGACACTTTCCAACCACCCGGAAGCCTAAAATGTATCACAGGGCGATGTGGGTTTTCAATAACTTTTATATTAGAAGTGCATATAATACATATATGTAATTAAGGCCGCGCCACAGCTCAAGCGGTTAGTCGTTGGCTTCCCACTGCGGCGGCTCGGGTTCGATCCCGGGTCTAGTCAAGTGGGATTTGTGGTGGACAAAGTGGCGCTGGGGCAGGTTTTCTCCGAGTATTTCGGGTTCCCCTGCCAATCTTCATTCCACCAATTGCTCCACAATCACCGTCACCTATCATCTTGGGCTAGTACAATAGGCCAGAAGTGGCCGCAGTACTAGGGACTTAGTCCCACCCCACTAGCAATAAAAAATATATGTAATTCAGAAAAGTTGAACAGGGTCATACGCCTGCAGCACCGCCGATATTTCACCCGTCACAAAAGTGTAGGAGAAGTTGCCGCATAAGTGACGAGAAGGGGTTACCACAAGCCGAGAGCAATAGTGTGTAGTACTTATGCGTGCATGCGCTTGCAACATTGTTTCATGTCATACTCGACAAACTAAATTCCATTCGCTATTCGAAAATACAGGATGTCGGGAAGAGAGGTATCCAAAATAAAATCATATCTCAGAAATAATTTATTATACACATGAATGGGGTACACCATTACAAAGGGAAACTATCAAAGTTTTTTCTGCATATATACCTTTCTTAGTAAATTTGAATGTGGGCTCCCTTGGTGGGACGACAAATAACCAGGCTTGAAGCATGTTTGGTGTTACCGTATCCACAGTATCCCTTATGCGGGCTTTCAGGTGTTGTAGGTCGCCGATCTTAACCTGATAGACTATGTTCTTCACATAACAGCACAAGAAAAATCCGCTGGGGTTAAATCTGGCGACCTAGGAGGCCAAGCGATTGGTCCACCTCTGCCAATTCATATCCCAGTCATCTCTCTGTCCAAGTGATTCCTAACATTGTGGAGAAAGTGTGGGCATAAGCCGGGTATGAAAACAAATCATAGTTTTCTTTTCCGATGACATAAACCGGATACGTATATGAAAATTAGTTTCCGAGATATATTTTTTTATTTTAGATACCTTTCATCCAGACATCCTATATTCAATGTCAAGCTTATAGATGTATAAAGTTTATGGAAAGTAGCGCCTACGGATCCCACTATACGATTCCTTGACGAAAATTGTGACAAAAATGTCCCTTGGTAATATTTCGACCAGCGCCTAACTTTCACGTAAAACGCAATTAACACTGAAAGCGAAATGGCACAGCGGTGATTCCTTAAAGTGATTTCGGTGCAAACTATTCGTTGACCGAAATTCCTTTGTCAAGGGACATTTTATTCCCAATATTCATTAATGAATATCGTGATGAAGTCCGTAGGCGCGAATTTCCTAATATTCTACAGTCACTATACACCCTCTTGCTTACAAATAGTCTGGCACTAGCTGTACTAATTTGTGACAATAATGTTCATATTTGCAAATATGAAAGATAAGAAAACAATTCCTTTAAGATTTTATATTAAAAAACAATTAGGGGAACTACTTCTGTCGGCGAGTCTTTAACGAAAAGGAAAGCGTGTAAAAGTGAGCAATGGAACCAATAAGTGTACTAGGTCCGAAACTTACAGAGCAGCTGAAGTTCCCATCAGATCCTGATGATGGAGACAGTCATGGTTTCTGAAACGTTGGTAAGTTTTAACCAACTGACACAACTGACAGCCCGAAAAGATTTAATCAAACAAATGTATAGCCTAACAGATACAAAGACAATCCTCTGAAATCTTTTGTGTGTCAAATTATGAAAAATTTGTGGACACTTTTGTTCTCACTGAAATTCTTCAACTAAAATCTATAAACTCAACGTTTAGTAACCCGGCTATATTTCTGTATTTCCTTCCTGGAATTTTATTGTCAGTCAATTCAAACGGTTGTTGTAAATTTCTATTCACCTCAGGCTGTCGAGCAACCGAATTTTACAAGTAGCTTATGCTTACACGTGTAGTCTATATGTATACAGAGATCTCGACCCACTGTATGAGCGATGTAAAGTGGTTACATGTAAATTATTCTGGATTCTGATCAAATGTATCATGTGAAATAATATACTTTTATTGAAATTCTCTCTCTGTTTCCTGTTGCTCTTACTTTGGAACATAGGTCATCCGTGAAACTCTTTGTTTCACTTCACTTTCTTAATCTTACAGAGAGTCGGTAAGACTCCTTGGACAAGTTATCAGCTCGTCGAAAGACCGCTACGTACACAAAAGCAGAAAAACGCAGACAAACATCCATGCCTCGAGTGGATTCGAACCCAGAATCCCAGTGTTCAAGCGGACGAAGACAGCGACTATACCGACCGAGCGACCGCCACTTGTCAGCGAAGTTAGTGCCAACTTTTGAGGATAAAGGGTGTCACGTGGTCAGCGTAACAGATCCCCACGGCCGTTAATTTCTGTTTTCTAGACCGAAGCCACAATTTCCTTGAAACAGCTCCTCGGTTACACTCACGAGGCTGAGTGGACCCCGTTCCAGACCCACTACTTCTCAGGAAATCTGGTAACGCCGGGAATCGAACCCGAGACCTCTGTATCTGTAGGCAGGAACTCTGACCACTAGACCACAGAGGGGGCTGCATTATGTGACTTAGTATGACCGCTTTGCATATTAATCTAACTGAACCACTCAGTGTGCACATGTGACAGTCTGCTTTTGTTCCCCCCACCATGTCCATTATAAACGTGCGGAACCGAGATCCATATCGAAGACATGATGAACGTTGTCTGCACGCCTCTGATAGGTGGTATTCTATGCAGTGACGTCACTATTATGAGAGTACGCTCGTTGTCATGACAACTGCGTGTGGGACGAGACTCAGTTTATGCATTGCTACATTGCAATTTTACGCATCACGCGCGATGTGTGGCAAAATCTATGTGCAAATCGAGTGGATATTGCTTATATTGACAGGGAGAAGACAACAGCTCCACTAAACTGGGAAGCATGTACGTTCTTGTGTCAGACGTTAAATGTATATGCACACATGCTGGCAAGCTAGGGAGCTTTAAGAATAATTTGATTGAAATATAAGATTTTGGAATAGTGAAGTGGTTCGAGTATACAAAAGTTTCAGAATGAGGTTCTTCCGCCATTCAATTAGTCAATGATCTTGTTTTGTTGGTCATTTAATGACGCTGTCAACATCGAGGATATATGCAGCCTTCCACATTTATTAGGGGCACAAATTGTTGACAGAGATAACGCAGAATACCGCAATGCATAAAGTAAAAAGGGAGCCCCCGACAGTGCTCATAAATCCATATTCCAGTCCTGTCCAAGTCCAAATCACATTTCGACTGACGGTCAGTCAGTCAGTCAGTCAGTAAGTCTTGGTGTCGAGCCCCATCTGGGGCTCATGACCAGATATTTATTACTTTTAACAGTTACGGTCTTGTTTTTGTGGGGCGCCCTCTCTGACGAGACGACGGATCTGCCTTTTGTATGTGCTGCTGGTCCTTGCCAGTGCAGTCTTTCTAGGGTCTGAGTCCCTTGGGACTCGAGACCATATTTTACTGTCTCAGATTTGAGACTTCCCTTTTCATCGCCCCTTACGACTCGCAGGGTCACGGTGGAGGAATTCGACCCCGCCTCCACACGGGCTTTCCAGTCCTGCTTTTACCGTCACAGTTAATATTATGATGAATATGATCATTTGCTAGGCAACGGTTCTGTAAACGCCGCCTGAAAGCCGGAATAGTGAAACCAAAGCGTTGATATGGAATTAACACACGGTTCCCACAGCAGAAGATAAACACGCAATAACCTGAACTGTTGGAAATGGTAATTTCTTTTCGGTTCTCACGGAGTTAGAAAAAGAGAATACGTGAGAACGCTCAGTAGAATACATTCGGGAAGCCATTCGTCAGACAGGAGTCGTAATTCAGAAGTTAGAAGTCGAGTGTTCAGCTGTGGAGTGTTAACCAGTGGATAACGGAAGCTGAAAAAGTGTCCGACTCGTACGCAGAAGAGAAGACACTCGGATTCCAGTATGGAATGGACCGAGTAGTAGACAATCATCGATTGTGAGCTGCTATACAGAGCGATTCTTTCGCTAGGAAACCCAAACATTCCTCAATAACTTTTTAATTTTTATATGGTTCCCTATGAAAATTTACACATACTTGCATGCTGCACCGTGCGATCACACATCTTCCGGCCTCCTGCGTGTCGAGTCAAAACACTTCCGGTTGTCTCTATTTTTTTTTTCACCAATCTGTGAATACAGGATTTTATCAGTACACCGTCTTCACAATACTTACTCCGAAATGCCATTTGGCACTGTTTAAATCAACCCGTTTGCCAGTATTCACGGACAATAAACACACGCTGTTCAGCTGAGCACGTGTTTGCGGCACACGCAATCACTCTACACTGAGTGAAACTCCTGTTTGGCGGTCGCGACTCGATATCACGGGTATAGTCCACTTCGTTGAGGGGTGTGATGGTTCTGCTTCGATAGATGTAAGCTTCGTCCACATCAATTTTCAAAGGGAACCATACAAAAATTAGAAATATATTGAGAAATATTTGGGTTTTCTAGCGAGAGAATCACACTGTAGTTGATGGTAATTGTAGTAGAAGTGTCAATACAGCCAATCATCAAATCCGGAATCCATTATTATTAGTCACGACAACCCAATATTCGTGACAATATAAGTGGGCCGGAGGCATGGGCAAGGTTTGTGTCTCTGCCAGGATACAAACCCCGGTCTACCAGCCCGTAGGCAGTCACTATACTATGGCCGAAAACTAAGCTAGTGAGCAAAGAAACAAATTGAATACGGTCGTGCCTGGTTTCATGAGCGTACCTGTAATGTGTGCGCCGGCACACTGAAGATCATGGCTTCATTGAAGATTGGGCTCCGCTCTCCCTTCTTCGTAGAAGTCCTCTTCTTGTGAACCTTCTTCCCGTGTTGCAGCAGGTACACCTGTATCACACAGTCAGTTACACAGTGCCTAGAGCAGCTCGCAGTCTGAAAAAACCGATCGCCCCCGGACCCCAGCAGCAAGCCGAAGTTCACAACATAGGGCCAGATTTAAAGGGGGGTGGGCTGGGGTTTCCAGAAAGCAGACACAGAATTCACAGATCATATGGTGGCTTATAGACCCGTTGCTAAGCGGTGACTCTGTAAACAGAAGTCCTTTCTGGGCAACGGCTCGGTAAACGCATTCCCGCTGCAACTAATGTGCATGCAACAATAGATTTACCGTTGGAAACGGGGTGTTTCTGCGTGCTCCATGCTGAGACGTTATAAGCATGGACAAAGTCAGCTGTCAGATTTCAAGTGACTAGACTGCCGTTGTAGCGGAAGCTATTAGAAATGGGACATAGTCCGCTGTACTGAGCCTGGATTGACAGAGGCCCTGTACATGTATTATACGTAAAATCTAAATATCCTTTACATTATGACAAATGCAGATAATGACTCTGACAAAAGACAGACCCGCCCTCTCGTCAGAGAGGGCGCCCCACAATAACAAGGCCGAAACTGTCAAACAGTAAAAAAATCTGGTCATAAGCCCAGACTGGGCTCGACACCAAGACTGACTAACTGACTGACTGGCAGTCAGTCGCAATGTGACTTTGATTTTGACTATGACTTTGAGTTATCAGATTCCCTGCGAGTTGTAGGAAGCGAAGAAAAGGGAAGTCTCAAATCTGAGATAGTAAAATATGGTAGCGAGTTCCAAGGGACTCGGACCCGGGAAAGACTGCGCTGACAAGGGCCAGCAGCATATACTCGATTTTATCATGGAATTCCTTGAATTGTTTGTCCTAGTAAACTTATCTACAAAACCACATAGTTAAAGTCTATGCACTCTACGAACCAGAGTCCGTCATACGTTACGCAGTGAAGCCTACGGCAGAGAAGCCATTTGTAAGAATGTCTGGATATCCCACCGGCGTGTGAATATCAGAAATACGTGTATGTTGAGAGGAGGATCTAGCAAGGTTCATATACCCAGATGACAATGATGTACCATCGTTCCTATAGAAGATGGCGTAAAAATGCCGCAGAAATTCAACAAGAAATAATTTCTTTCGTATCTTCAGCGTTCACCGTCATTTATATTCCTTCCATACCTTCATCGCGTTCCTTCTTTCTCCGTTCAAGCAATGAAATAAGTCACACCTTTATCTCTGACGCGACCTCTGTGAATATGTGAAAAATGCTATGGTACATACGCAGGTATAACTCGTCTCCTATTGTAATCATATTCTTTAAGTCTCAGATCTCCGAGATATTCACGAATGGTGCAGCTTTAATTTGTGCCTTATTTCTCAGCTAAACAATTTCACGTATCCACTGCACACCTGCATACTCCGACATGCATTGCTTTTCCTTAGCCAAGATCTCAAATCTCACGTTTAAAATATAAGTCCTTATAAGGTTAGAGGCAGGAGCAGGGATAGCGTAGTCGGTATAGTGATTGGCTATAGGCTGGACGACCGAGGGGTCAGAGCTCGAGTCCCGGTAGGGTCAAGAATTTTTCACTTCTCCAAATCGTCCAGACCGGCTCTGGGGTCCACCCAACCTCCTATACAGTGGATACCTGGGGCTCTTTTCTCGGGGAATAAAGGGGCTAGGGCGTGAAGCTAACCACTCCCCTCCCCCTCAGAGCCTTCATAGCGCAGTGCTTAATTAGTTCAGCACAGGGACAATTTTACATTACCTTTTAAGGATAGAGGCGAAGTTGTGTTGTACTTAATTACAAGCACCATGCCATGAAGACGTATGGAGGAGTGGAGGTACAGCTCGACCCGGCAGTAGATTAAAATGAGTAATGAGCTTCACACTCCGGCCACATTAAGAGCCTACTTTATCCATTGTGATGGATGGTTGGGTGGATATCAGAGCCAGTCTGGACGTTGTGGAGAAGACAATAATTCCCCGTTCTTCCAGCCCCTATACTATAATACTTAGTTAGTTAGTTATTGGAGAGGGTGGGTTTCCCCATGCGCTTAGACCAGTATTGGTCCATTGTGCTTCCCTCTATGATATTCTACCAGTCTCTATACCCTACCGATATTGGTGCGTACCATCAGTCCCGCCGAGCCAGCGAGTTCGGCCTCCACTGGCTTGGTGGTGTCTATAATGCTTCCCCCATCTATCAGAGGCTTTAGAGACTACTGTTGGGCGGGAAACGTCCTTGAATTTGGCTCAGTGACCTCCTTTGGAGATATGAGGTTCTTTTACGTGCCGTAAAGCTACGACACGGGACACACGGCTTAAAGTCCCTCCCGGAGGACTTGTTCCCTGAATTTTTCCGTCCTTAAAAATTCGACGACCTCCGCCGGGTTTGAACCCGCGTACCACGAGTCATGAGGTGGGAACGTTACCTCTAGACTACGGAGGCCGCTTACTATAATACTTACTAAGGATTCCACCTTACTATTTTCTAAACAAGCTCTATGGGAATAACATAAAGGTAACAGGTAAAGTTTTCCCCATGCTTAAGTAATTAAGCATCACGTCATGCAGACATGTTGGGGAGTGGAGGAATAGCTCCTCCATTCTTAACCTCGGCACTAGGTGGAGGTGCGTGGTTAGCTTCACGCCACGACCATTTTACATCCCAGGAAAGAGCCCACTGTACCCACTGGATAAAAGGTTGGGTGAGCATCACAGCCGGTCTGGACGCTATGGACAAAAGAAAATGATTTCTTACCCCCGATGGGAATCAAACTTTCACCGTCCGGCCCGTAGCCTGCCGCTATACCGACTGAGCTATTCCAGCTCCATGGTAGTATTGCAGATTATTTTAATATTACACATTGTATTTACAGATTGTGGTAAGCATAATGCGTGACGACTTACCTTGATAAAGGGATCCCCCGCCTCTCTGTCTCGTGGAAACTTAAGGTTTCTGGCTTTCACTATAACCACCGTGAGTCGCTCGGCCGTGGGCAGGTAGCTGAGTGAAAACATGAGTTCCCCGAATTGCGTGCCTCTCTGTCAACCAATAGGAAGCTTGATCAGAAATGCACTCCTTTCGGTTTTGATGTAGGAAGGGTTCCAAATCTGATTACCGAATTAAGATTCGTAACGAGAAATTAAAATAAAGACAAAGATTTTTACGTAGGAAATGTGAGGGAGGGTGGAGAAACCCTTCCGCTTCCGTCTCCGCACATCTGGTTGGTTCGAAATTTATTTATTTTGGATGAAAAAGTTTCGTTGCAAAATGAATCAGTAGTTAAGATATCGTGTGGCGTAAGTAATACATTATAACTATGACGAAGCGAACCAGTATGTATGTATGTATGTATGTATGTATGTATGTATGTATGTGTGTGTATGTGTGTATGTATATATGTGTGTATGTGTATGTATGTGTGTATGTATGAGTGTATGTGTGTGTATGTATATGTATGTGTGTGTATGTATTATATCGTTACGTATGTGTATGTATGTATGTATGTATGTATGTACCGTATGTATGTAGGTAGGTATGTATGTACGTCGTATGTTGGTCCGTCCGTACGTTGTCCTGCACATTTCATCTTCCAAACTAACTAAAGGATTTCGATGAAACCTGGTATTGAAGGTCCGAGAGAAAAGTCGTCTTGTGAACATAATTTTAGTCTGTATTATTCTTAGTGTGACCGAGATTATCAGGAGCTACAATCGAAAATAAAAAGCGTCACGTTAAGAGTTAATGGCACGGTGCATAAAATGTGTATATGAAACGTTTTAATATAGTTTTTATTTAATGAATTACAAGGAAAGTACGGAAGTTGTCATTGGCTTATATAACTCTGAGCAGTGCGCCATCTGAATGCAGGCAAATCTTTGCAAACTCACATTTCTAACTAAACATCAATACGGATGAGATACGCACCATAGCAATTAAAATAGTCTTGTATGTAAAGAAGGTATACTGGCCTGTGCATACATTTCCAAAATTGGAAATGTTGTTGTTTTAATATTGTGACTTATATACCCATTGATAGCCAACGACTCGGTAAATACATTCCCGCGGAAACAAACGCGCACAACAATAGGATGCCTATTGCTAGGCAACGGATCAGTAAACACGCCACCTTAATAANGATAAGTAAGCACCTGAAGATGGCATTATTATGCCGAAACATGTAGTGCGAGGGAGAGAAGGAGAAAAATGAGTGTATGCACTGCAAGACGGATTAAATAAATCATGGACTTAAATCAGTGCAACAGGACGCTAAAATATAACATTAATAAGAGAGGTTATATTTTTTTGCGTGGTCCATGCAAAGTGGTCATAAAGAAGAGTTCAGCTGAGAAGAGTTAGTTGTTGTCAGAAGCTGAGAGAGTCCAGTTGAAGAAGAGTTAATTTGAGTCAGTTGTTGTGGAGAATTGGGTCGAGTTCTGGAGATGGCAGCCGAAGGTGACTGAGAAGAAATGGCAAGAAATGGATTAGGCTGTGCAAAGAAAACTTCATATATGGTTTGAAGTTAGAGCGAGACGGTTATGAATCCGTTGCCAGGAAACGACCAGTGAAGACTGGGAATCCTAGTGTGTGTACAGCGGCGAACTGTAAAGTGTGGGGATAGCGATAGCGTTGTAATTGCTCATAGTACCGAGTTCTGTTTATAAGGTGTCAGTAAATCCACTCATCCAAACCAAACCCCGTCTATAGTCACTAATACAGGTGACAACATTTTGAAAATGGATAGTACCAGCCCCTCCTCACGGGAACCCACTTACCTGACCCGTGTCCGTCAGAGTAAGCCACGTGGTCACGGGCTGTCGTGGTGTGACGTCACAAAGCTTGAGCTCTGCTTCACCAATCAGAGTGTTCGAATACTTGTCGCTTGCGTACACGTAGAACGTGAGAGAGCGTTTTGAGAACTCACTAGCCTCCAGTCCGAAGAGGAACTTCTCTTTGTAACTAGGACAATTTGTTTTTCTGTATACCTGTGAAATAAATAGTTACAAGTAGTCATAATGTGTATTTTAACAACACCGCTGAAGTACTTTAATGAGTGACACGTTGTAAGTCAAGCATAAATGTCGGTCAGATCAAGAAATGAGTTTCTGCTTCAGAAATTTGAGGAAAGCCAATCAGAAACAAAGCAGAAAATTTAAATGGAATCGATATTCAATCAAAGACTCGTATGAAAAATTAGTCACATGAAGCTGATTGCTGTAAAATGTATTTTGTATCATACGTATAGTATTTCAGTTAGGCGCAGAAGAAAATGAAGTTAATTTTCACATTTAATGTTTACTTACTTACGCATGGAGCTGAGCCCTTCTGGTGGAGCAGTTAATTCTGCAGCTACTCAAGAATTTCCCAGCATTTTATGGAACCCGAAGGTTCATTACCGTGTTCACAAGAGCCCTCCACTGGTCCCTATCCTGAGCCAGATCTATCCAATCCATAACATCCCATCATATCTCTCTAAGATCCATTATAATATTGTCCACCCACATACGCCTTGGTCTTCCCTGTGGTCTCTTTCCTTCTGGTTTCCCACCAATATCCTATATGCATTCCTCGTCTCCCCCATTCGTGCTACATGACCTGCCCACATCCTCCTCCTTGACATTTAATGTTTACTTGTCAAATTTAATTTTGAAGCCAAGAAAATGAGATTATTAGCTTCTGCTATCGCCACCGAAGTTCTACATCTTTTATTGCTAATTTCTTTCAAAAAGAAGAAATATTGAGGAATAGGCTTCGTATAACCTGCAGATAGAAATAATTTTCACTGAAGAAAATAATGCTAGAAGAAATTTTGACTTAACCACCGTGCGCGATATCCGGATTATACCATGCAATGCAGTGTGGATGCAATGTTGTTTCAACTAAGTTCGCATGACAGGCAAGTTCTTACTGCGATTGTAGAAAATTACAAATTGCAGTATGGCATGACATACTGCTCGTAAAGTGTAATGAAAGCAGGGAATGTATTCCTCACCTAATATTGTTAAAGAAGAATTAAAAAAATAGATTGGGTAAGCCGAATATGTAGCATGCAGGGAGATACATTTTTTAATTTATTTTTTTTTTAATTCACATAATGGGGGGTGGAGTCCAGTTGGGTCCACTCGGCAAGGTGGCCACTGATTGGCCTATTCTACCTGCCCCGGGTGATTATGATGATGGAGAATTTGGTGGAATGAAGATTGGCAGGGGAAACCGAAGTACTAGGAGAAAACCTACTACAGTGTCACTTTATCCACTACAAATCCCACTTGACCAGACTCGGATTTGAACCCGGGCCGCCCAGGTAGGAAGCCAGCGACTAGCCGCTTGAGCTATTGCGCGGCCTATGCAGAGAGCGAAGGAAACGCATGTAACTTTTCGGTTGGAAAATCTCATACAAATGATATGCTCTCGAGATGTGGGAAGATACTGACAATATTAAAATGTAGCTCTGAAGAAGAGAATATTTGAACTGGTCGGAAAAGACCCCAGACGGGTTGTGAACCTTCGTATTCCATAGAACAAGGTATTTCTTAGCCATCTCACTAATCATCAAATTCATACACACCCTGGTCTGCATGTTGGTCGTCTTGTCCGGCAACAGGTACACCCTGACGTACGTATCAATAATGGCGTTGCTGTCGGGTCCCACCAGGTCCTTGGCCTCCAGCACGCTGACCACAAGGTCAGCAGAGTCGCTGAAACATGCAGGCCTAAGCTGAGAGTTGCTACCGCCCTTCTGACTCCAACTTTCAGTTTGCTGAAGAGAAGCAATCTGAGCGATATATCGATATGGACATTTGTGTTTCCTCTTCTGTACGTCCATGTTGATAGAACATTGCTGCAAGACAGCACGTTCTTCCTCAGAAAGTGGCGAGTCTGGCCGTCATATAAACGGCGCCTAGCTTTACATAAAATATTTTGACTTTTTTTAGTGTTTATAGCTTCTTCTTCTCATTACAGAGGTTCCCGATTCGAATCTCGGTCCATAGACCAGGTATTATGATGAGATTTTGTGATCTTCTCATTCTCTTCTGACAAATTGTGGGCAAAATTAAAGTTGTCCCTGTGCTTAAATACAATAATTAAGCACTACGCCATAAAGACGTATGTGGGTGTATAGAACCATGTATTCCCTTCTCGGCACTCGTTGGAGGTGAGTGGTCAGCTTCACGCCTCGGCCGCTTTCTTCCGAGGAATGATCCCCCGGTACGCATGGATTAGGAGGCCGGGTGGGCTACAGAACCGGTCTGGATGACGTGGGGAGGAGAAAAGTCTTGCCCCTGCCGGGATTCATACTCCGACCCCTCGGCCGTCCAGCCCGGCTCTTGGCAGCTACTGGGTTAATACTTTAGAAACAGCCATGACTGTTTTCTTATGTGTCCTAAATTCGTCATTCAGAATGACTCAACGTTTCATAACCTAGTGAACTGCAAAGGCTTTATGAAACAAACAAAGAATATGCAAATCCGTGACAAAGATAATACGCAAAGGAATTGTAAGAAATTTCTTTTCTGATAGGTTAATCGTAGTTAGTGACCGCCTCTGTGGTCTAGTGGTCAGAGTTCCTGGCTACAGATCCAGAGGTACTAGTTCGATTCCCGGTACTACCAGATTTTCTGAGAAGTAGTGAGTCTGGAACGGGGTCTACTGAGCCTCTTGAGGATAGTTGAGGAGCTATTTCAAGGAAATAGCGGCTCCGGTATAGAAAACCGAAATTAATGGCCTAGGGGATTCGTTGAGCTGACCACGCGACACCCTCTATCAGCTAAAGTTGTTACGAACTTCGCCGACAAGCGGCGGTCGCTCGGACGGTATAGTTCTCTTGCGAACTAAAACCACGGAGTTTTTTAATCGTAGTTAGTTAATTTGGTATTTTTGTTTAAAGAAATGAACAAATTAAAGAAATATGAAAAGAAATTTTCAGATTTGCCTTACGTATCTATTACTAGAAGACCTGCCAGTCTCGCTAAAGCGCGCAGGAAGTTTTGTCCCTTAGGCGTGGAATTCAGTAAGTATGTTCAATCAACAATCGGAGACAGCCGACGAAGTGTAGTCTTTCAGACTGTTGGTTAAGCATGGATGCAGCCAAATGAACTATGCATTTACAATGTCCCGGAAATGGACAGAAGTTTGGCATGATCTGAGAACGGAAAACATGACAGACATATATCGGGATCTAGCGCGGATTTTCCTTGTGCCCTTCCCTCTCCATTCAGCTCTGCGAGCACTGCGATTCTCACCTATCGTACTCGAGCCCCACGCAGAGGTACCCTGTCACGTTGGGTTCCTGTAGGTCCCCCAGTACTATAGACGTATCGGAGCACACGGAGTCACAGGACACGGCCCTCTGCAGCGCAGGTGGCAGCTGGTCCCCTGACTCCGGATCCTCTGCAGACACGATGGCAGTGGTAGCTGTTGTCCCATCTGCAGGCGGACTGCCCGCAGGTTTCGGTGGCTCGTCAACGAGTGGCGGTGCTGGGGCAGGCCGAAGCGGTTGAGGGGGTATTGAAGTAGTCGGAGACGGAGACCCTCGGTAACTACCCATCAGACTACTTGTGGTGATTGCGACTCGGAAATCACGGTCTACAGGGTCGAAACGTTTGAAGCTCCCCGTAACATCGAGATGAATATCGGAGTCCGAATGCACCTGTTGACACAGAAAACAAATTTTACGAGAATAAGGCTGGTGTATGTCAAGCAATCGACGAAGCAATCTTGTTTATTTGTTTTATGGCCCTCTTAACGTGTTTCATGTATAGCTATTTCGCCTGTCCATCAACCCTTGATTACATAACGCACTATTTTACTGTGTCGAAACACGTCAACAACAGAAGGAACCTATTATGATTCTATACACCTGTGTGCAACATTTTTGCAATATGTACCGATAGATCTCATTTTCAGAAGTCTCGTCCTAAAAAATTGTGCCGCGGGTTCAAGTCCCGATGAGGTCGTTGGATTTTTTTCAGTTGACCTAATCCTTCCAGCCGCACTAGGCCCTGGGATTTACTCAGCCTATAACAGAAATGAGTACCAGGAATTAATTAAATAATTTTCCTGGGGAGTAAAGCACGGCAGGCGCGTAAGGCTGACAACGTTACCGCCATCTTTGAGCCGATTGTCCAGATAATGTGGGACCCTCAACGTCTCACAACCCTATGGGCCTTCACAGCCTGGTACAGGGATAGCTTTACTTTCTTTTACCGCAAAATATGTCTTCTTTCTACAAACTATACATCCAAAACTATAATTTTACTCATTACTGTGTATGGCTGGGGAACCAGGGAGGAAAACAGAATAGAGATCTTTCTCACCTGAGCAATGATTGTGGTTATATGACTGAGATTGCAGAGATATTTTTTTACCAGGAGCTCTGCTACAGTTACATAAAATAGAAGTTTTGAGAACCTTTTCTAAATAAGCACATTTCATCAAAATGACGGCGGCTAACGACAGAGAGACTAGTGTTAGCAGATCTATCGACCGACAGAATTGGTCATACTTGCAACCAGGGTAGGCCTCGCTACATCGAAACTCAATATTACAATGGTTTCAAGCAGGATAATTATGATTTTATTGCATACACAGATAACTCGAGAATAGAAGCAGAGACTTAATGTAATAGAGTACACATACAAAACAAAACAAAAAACTCCGTGGCCTGTAGTCCGCAAGCGAACTATACCGACCGAGCGACCGCCGCTTGTCGGCGAGGTTAATGCCAACTTTTGCGGATAGAGGGTGTCGCGTGGTCAGCGCAACGGATCCCGACGGCCGTTAATCTCGGTTTTCTATTTCCTTGAATTAGCTCCTCAATTATTCTCACGAGGGTGAGTGGACCCCGTTTCAGACCCTGATATTTTACAAAATATATTATTAACTTTTATGTTAACTTTTTGCAAAGATAAATGAATTCACACTTCAGATAAAATTCGCAGAGTCAGAAATGACTGTTATAATATTTCGTTAAATATTCGCAATATCGAAGAATGTTTCAAATAATGGTTCAGATAATAATGAATTCTATAGCTCTTTCTTGATGAAGCTTCTGAGAAACTGGAGAGATTTCACCTTCATTTTTGTTATAAGTTAGAGGTTACACAATGGAACAGTAAGGACCGATATCATTTTGAATTCACCCTACATTAACGCATTTAAACGAACTCGGTTCAGTAATTCAGGAGATGAAGTATGCGACAGAGAGACGTCCGGATGGTCACGACTTAATTATGCTTTCATTTCATATTTTTTGGTTGGAGAAACTTGCATAATGAGGAGCCTCATAGTTTGTACTCTTCGCCAAATATAATTAGAATGCTCAGTCAAGGAGGATGAGATTTTCAGGATATGTAGCACGCATAGTGGAGAACAGGAATGTGTGCAGGGATTTGGTGGGAAGGCCAAAAGGAAAGAGACCACTAGGAAGACATAGACATAGGTGGGAGGATATCACACTCTTAGAGAAATAGGATGGGGTAGTGATGCTGGATTCATCTGGGCCAGGACAGGGACTAGTGGAGTGTTCTTGTGAACACGGTTATGAACCTCTGCTATCCATAAAGTGTTGGGAAATTCCTGAGTAGCCTAACGACTGGCCGCTTCTCAAGAAGGACTCAACTCCATGGAGTTAGTTAGTCAGTTAGTTGGTCTGATATTGTTTGTAAGATTAAAGCAAAATATGGCAATTCTGAAGTAACAAACTGCCAGAAGAAAATCTTATGTTTTATGACATAAAAAGGTAAAGTTGTCCCAATGCTTAACTAATTAAGCACTACTCCATGAAGGGGTATGGAGGAGTAGATGTGTAGATCCACATTTTCTTGACTATGCCGTTAGGTGGAGGTAAGTGGTCAGCTTCACGTTCCAGCCGCTTTACTCCCGAAGGAAGAGCCCCTGGTACCCACAGTATAGGAGGCTGGGTAAACCCCAAAACCGGTCTGGACGACGTAGAGAAGAGATAATTCATGATACTAGCGGGACTCGAACTCCGACCCATCGGTCGTCCAGTCCGTAGATAGTCGCTATATCGACTACGCTATCCCGGCTCTATATTTTATGACATAGTAACTGTAAATATGTACACTGTATCGACTACATAAGTAGGATGTACAACAATACTGTACAAGAGTATGTGTACAACAAAATCGAGCTGTAGAGACAAGAAATAGAACAAGTATGTTGTATTATAATGTTTATATTAAGAAATTAAAGTATTACTATGTAATTACAAAAAAAAACGGATTGTTGAGGAAATTAAGAGGAAATTGAACTCGGGTAATGCTTGTTACCATTCAGACCAGAACCTTTTGTCTTCTCGTCTGCTGTCCACAAACATAAAAATTAGAATATACAAAACTATAATTTTGCCTGTGGTTCTGTGTGGGTGTGAAACTTGGTCTCTGACATTAAGGGAGGAACATAGACTGAGGGTGTTTGAGAACAGGATGTTGAGGAGAATATTTGGACCCAAGAGATGAAGTGACAGGAGGTTGGATAAAACTGCATAATGAGGAGTTTCATAACTTGTTCTCCAAGTATAATTAGAATGATCAAGTCAAGGAGGATGAGGTGGGCAGGGCATGTAGTACGAATGGGGAGAAGAGGAATGCATATAGGATACTGGTGGGAAAGCCAGAAGGTAAGAGATCACTGGGAAGACGAAGACGGCGGTGGGTGGACAATATTAAAATTGATCTTAGAGAGATAGGATGGGATGGTATGGATTGGATTGATCTGGCTCATGATAGGAACAAGTGGAGGGCTCTTGTGAACACGGTAATGAACCTTCGTGTTCCATAAAACGCTGGGAAATTCTTGAGTAGCTGCAGAATTGGCGGCTCCTCAAGAAGGGCTCAGCTCAATAAGTAAGTAAGTTATTACAAAAGGACATTGAAACTGCTGACTGAAATCGCATTCAAAGCAAACCGCTCTACTTTATATATTGTCAAGATACGGAGCAGATTTCGTAACATAGCTGTGTCCCATATTAGGTCCGGGCAGGAAAGGTGAAACAAATCGATATGACAGTTACATTTCTGTGCAGTGTATATTAGATTTTGGACGAGAAGTCTAGCCTGTCTGGTCACTCACAGGCGACGCTGTGCGTTCACGTTACCTCTCCAAGGGAGATCTACGCTGACGTCTTATTAAATTACTGGCAAGAACTGAGGACAGTAATTGGATTTCGGAGTGTTTCGATGGGACTTCATCATTACGTCAATTGTTTCGACAGAAAACCTAGCGTCGTATCGGCACCCTTGCTTGACGTGTTCTAGGGGAAGGAAAAGGGATTTACCACCCATAGTCTGCGTGACGTAAATTGGGTGTGAGCTTAACATCAAGAGAGAAGGGAGAGGAAAGCAGGATTAGGAACGTGATTTATGTTCTGGAACAGGTTTGGAATGTATTCGTTCTAACTTGGGTTCAAATACGCCTCACCAATGCAGGGTAATCGTTACAAAACGTGAGAAAGATGGAATGGCTCTTGGATCGCCACTCTGTTGGTGCACTGGGCGAATATTTGTGTCTGTCCACTGTAAACAACCGACATCAAGTTTATTCATATTTTGACGTGTACACCCACTGCTAGGCAACGACTCGGTAAACACATTCCTGTGGAAGCAAACGCTCGCAACACTAGGACGTCAAATGCTATACAACGGATTAGTAAATACATCTCCTTGACAATAGAGGCTGTGTTTTCTATGTGGTCCATGCAAAGTGCTTGTAAAGAAGTGCTCCGCAACATAGAGCAGGATCATGGTCGTGAGTCCCAAGGGACCCGGGCCAGCAGCATATACAGAAGACAGACCTGTCCTCTCGTCGAAGAGGGCGTCCCACAAAAGCAAGACCGTAACTGTCAAACAGTAATAAATATCTGGTTATAAGCCCCACATGGTGCGCGACACTGACTGTCTGTCTGTTAGTCACAATGTGACTTTGACTTTGACTTTGACATAGACCAGGATAGAACAAGTTCCAGGTTCGAGACGCCAACCTGCCAGGATATGAGTTTGGAGCAGAGGAATTGAATTGAGTCGGGGTTTCGAAATTGGCAGTTGCAGAATAATGGCAAGAAAGGAATCAGGCTATGAAAGGAAGAATTCATGTGTGATTTAAGAAACAGTGAGACTGTCAAAAACCCGTTGCCAGGATACGACTAATGAAGACTGAGAACCCTATTGTATGTTTAAGGGTGAATTGTAAAGTGTGTAAATCAGCGATAGCGCTGTATTGCCTGTAGTCCAGAGTTGTGAATGTATAAGATGCAATAAATCCAATCATCCAATCCAAACCCCGTCTTATAAGTTATCATATAAATTCTCAAGGCTTTACATTCTGTTATTATTCTGTACCAATTGAGAATTTATGTGAAAATTAATGTTGTTAATGTTTACGGATAAACCTCTAAGTGGGACTGAGAAGTGCGCATGCTTCAGTCGTCATTGCAGCTGCTACATTCGCGGGAAACAAATTTCCATTATTGAAAGTGTGCAACTTCAGTGAGACTGTGATGTATGGTATAAGACTTGATTGATGGGCAATTTGTCATTAACTAACTAACTAACTAACTAACTAACTCCATTAAGCTGAGTTCCTCCTGAGAAGCCAGCAGTCGCTCAGCTACTCAGCTAGAGGTTCGAAGGTTCCGCCCATTTGTTACACTGACATCATTCAGAAAGCTTGCGGTTGCATATTGATGCCATGGAAGTTCACAAAATTACAATTGTAAAAAGATGGAGTGTATAGTGGTCATGACGAAACAATAGCTATTAGTGTAATTTATGAAAAGTATCTTAAGTGTCCCGACTCTAAATCACTGCCACAGTTGTCCAGGCTGTGACATGAAGTAATTCAAGAAGAAGAGAGGTTGAGTTTTACGACGGCGTTTGGTATTACATGCAGCTTTTGCCGAAAACATGTCCTCTAGATAGCAATGCAATTAATGGGTGTTGTTATTGTATGAAGTTGAGTATATTAGTATTAATATAGCATAGTTTTCAGACGGGGGCACGCGGTAGCGTAGTTGAGATACTATGCTAAAAGCCGGAAGGTCGCGGGTTCGAGTCCCGATAATGTGGATTTTTCAATTGACCTAATTCTTCCAGCCGCACTATGGCCCTAGGGTCGACTCAGCCTCTAACAGAAATGGGTACAAGGAATCTTCCTGGGGGGTAAAGGGCGGCCGGCGCGTAAGGCTGACACCCTTACCGCCATCTGTGAGCCGATTGTCTAGAAGATGTGGGAGCCTGGACGTCTTTTAGCTCTATGGGCCTTCACGGCCTGTTACATGGAAAGCTTTACCTTTTTACCTTGTTTTAAGAAGGCTGGTTATTTTTTTATGAAGATTGTTTTTAACGAATTATAGTTAAAATTTTAAGAGGTTTTACATTAGTACATGATGTATTTTTGTTACGCCATTAGTGTGAACGTGGTCGTAATATTGACCTCATTATAAAGGCACATTGTATCTCCCTGTCTTCAGGAATAACATCCTGGTAATCTTGCGAGGTTATGAGTTGGGAAACTAGTGCAGCTCAAGGCCGAATCCTGATAGTTATAGAGTAACATATCTTTCAGAAGTATGCAGCGCTTATTAAATTACATTTATAAGAAACAGAAAACTGAGAGTATGACAACCACGGAAAATATGTTGATGACGATAACTGATTAATCACAGTGTGTGTCTGTGCTTTACGTCTCCTGACAAATTTGTAATTATCCCACCTTGTCTCAGCCGCCGTTAGCTAGGCTATACATGCAGAAGTATCTCAACAGAAGTTGCACACGACAGGATCAGGAAGCGATGGTTGTTAACAAGGGGTTCCACAAGAATGGCAAATTTCGTGTCTCTCTGAGCCGTACACTGCATCCGAGTGTGTGGCGTGTTCTTACCAGGTATCCGTTGGCATTGTAGTGACCCATGGCGCGAGTGAGGCCGACCTTTTCCTCACGGCTGGAGAATATCCAGGCCACAGTCCACGTCCACATGCCCATGAAGTGGCAGAGCACCAGCAGAACCAGCAACACGATGGCCACTACTCCCAGTAACGTGATAACCACCTTCACTTCGCTCATCTCTGCAAGCGGCAGCGGAACGCCTCAGGGAAACATCTGTCGTGGCCGCATCTCCACGTAACTAAAAACATGGAACTTCTAACATGTCGAACAAATCCTGCAAATATGGTCGTTCTTAATTTACATTTTATGAGCAAAGCGTGAGGAAAATCCAAGGATCTTAACTTACAGTGGCTTATAGGCCGCGCCATAGCTCGCGGCGGCCCGGGTTCCAGCTCGGGTCTGGTCAAGTGGTATTTGTGGTGGACAAAGTGGCGCTGGAGCGGGTTTTCTCCGAGTACTTCGGTTTCCCCTAACAATCTTCATTCCACCAGATTCTCCATCATCATAATCACCCGGGGCAGGTACAATAGGTCACTTAGTGGCCGCCGTGCCGAGCGAACCCAGCTGGACTCCACCCCCCACTAATTTACAGTGGCTCATCAGACGGAGACATGCATGTTAGACGTTCTTCCATAGCTAACCGGAGAATAATTCCGATGAGTAGCTTCCCCATAGAGGAACACTATGTAAGATTTGAGGTTTTCGGAGGAACAAGATTCACACAAGATCTACACGCTGCCAAATCCCAGAAATCGGCATTCTTCATAGTCACGGCCGTGAAAACCTCAAATCTTACGAAGGATACTTTCATCCATCAATTTGATTTAGAACTTTTTTTTTCACGCGATGAAGACGAAGGCTTAAAACCGTGTACGGCATCCGGAAAAATAGCCCAATTAATTTATATAAGATATGAAGAAAATTTGCCTCAAATCTGTTTTTTTTTTTGGAGAAAACCTTACTAAGTTATGAAAATAGGCGGTGGACACTCTAGAAATTTCTGATGTCTACGCGTGGCCACGGTTTTCACAGTTTATAATCGCTCTCCTAGGAGGCCTCATTAAACGCTACTGGTGACCCTGGTCACTACACCGCGCAACTTTGCCCGAAACTGTCAAAATACAACTCACTCACGAAGCTGAGCCCTCCTTCAGAAGCTGCCAATTGTCCAGCTACTCAGGAACTTTCCAGCATTTTATACGAGTAGAACCACAAGGTTAATTACCGTGTTCACAAGAGCCCTCCACTGGTCCCTATCCTGAGCCAGATCAGTACATTCTATACCATCCCATTCTATCTCTCTAAGATCCATTTTAATATTGTCCGCCCACCTACTGCTTGATCTTCCCAGTGGTCTCTTTCCTTCCAGTTTTCCCACCAATATCCTGTATGCATTCCTCTCTCCCCCATTCGTTCTACATGCCATGCCCATCTCATCCTCCTTGACTTGATCATTCTAATTATACTTGGAGAAGAGTACAAGTTGTGAAGCTCCTCATTATTCAGTTTTCTCCAACCTCCTGTCACTTCATCTCTCTCCAGTCCAAATATTCTCCTCAACACACTGTCCTCAAACACCTTCAGTCTGTGTTCCTCCCTTAAGGTCAGAGACCAGGTTTCACATCCATACAAAACTAAAATATTTAAAAATGTGTGTGTTCAAAACTCTGAGAAATTGCCCATGAATAATTGCTGCGTCTATTGCTCAATAAATAAATAATTTTGATTTTCATCTATATTTTATAACCATAAACTTAGCTGTAGGATTTGAGGTTCTCACAGTGGTGGTTGTTCTATCGTCCGGGATATGGCCCCGTGTAGATCTTCTGAGCAGCTTCATATCCCAGAAGACAGAACTCGTGGGCTAACATCGCCTTAACTAGCAACCATCTCGCAGCTGTCAAAGCATGCTAGCGGGGTAGGACTATAACCCTGCCTGCTGCTTGCTTCACGCTGCTTTCTTGCTTGGCTGATATTTCAACAATGAAGATGTAAAGTAAGTAAAGCTATCCCTGTAACAGGCCGTGAAGGCCCATAGGGTTGTGAGATGTTGAGGGTCCCACATTACCTTGACAATCGGCTCAAAGATAGCGGTAAGGTTGTCAGCCTTATGCGCCGGCCGCGCTTCACTCCCCAGGAATATGTATTTAATTAATTCCTGGTACTCATTTCTGTTAGAAGTTGAGTAAACCCCAGGGCCTAGTGCGGCTGGAAAGATTAGGTCAATGGCGCGACATATTCCTCCGTGACATAGGTCGACTCTCTACGGATTACAGAGCCTCATATTCCAGAAGACAGAACTCTCCCCTTTTCGTAACATTTCTCTACTTAGTCTCTACAGTCTCCTGTCTTTCCCACATTTCGATTGCCTATTATAAATATTTACTCATTGTATCAACCTTACCGTGGAAACTCCCGCGAATTAATGGGCGTCAATTTCGGAGAGTAAATTACCCATTCGCACAGAACTGTTACTAAAGTTACTAAACTCAGACACCAATTTTTATTATGGTTCATATTAGGAAACCAGAAATACAAACATAACACCAATCAGGACCTACGCCATTATGGTACGAATGTAGTACCTCTAAATATTTCTCGGACACAGCCAATACAGTCATGTCTCCATAATACTCAGAAATCTGGAGACTTTCAATTACCTATTAACATTCGTATAATCTCGCTACCTATCAATCCGGAAATTGGGCATCGAGTTGCCAACATTGCAGTAGGAAACTCTCTGCAAATTCAATGCGAAAGTATCCATCTACCCGTATGTCTGTCTCTGTAGCCACTGATATCTGCCTACCCATTGAGTCAACAATTCCACCATCCCTCAAGCATCTGATATTCTTACCTTCCCCAGTGACAGTATATCACCACTGACTCAGCTGAACTAGAGACTGTGTGATGTTATGAAATCCGAAGGTCCTGATCGAGGTCAAAACATGTTACATCTTTAAATCTTATTTGTAAAATTTATTTTAATATTATCCTCACATCACACATAGGTCGCCATGTGGTCTCCGGCCAAAATTTTGAGTTTATGTTTACCCAGCAGAATATTTGCCATAAACGTTGCTCTCATGCGAAGCTTCTTGTTTCACTCGCCCTAATTATAGCATTAGATAAAGCGTAGAAATGAGGTAAAGCTATCCCTGTAACAAGCCGCTGAGGCTCATAGGGTTGTGAGAAGTGCAGGCTCCCAGTCGGCTCACAGACGGCGGTGAGGATGACAGCCTTACGCGCCAAGCTATCCCTGTGACAAGCCGTGGAGGCCCATAGGGTTGTGAGACGTCGAAGTTCTCACATTTTCTCTAGACAATCGTTTCACATTTGGCGGTGAGATTGTCAGCCTTACGCGCCGGCTGCCGTTTACTCCCCAGGAAGATTCCTGGTACTCTTTTCTCTTAGAGGCTGAGTCGACCCCAGGGCCGTATTGCGGCTGGAAGAATTAGGTCAGTTGAAAAATCCAGTCATCTTATTGAGAACCGAACCCCCGACCTTCCGGCTTGTAGCGTAGTGCCTCAATCAACTGCGCTATCGCGTGCCCCTTAGATGATGCATAAGAATTGTGACGTTATTACTTACGTAGTTTTCCCCAGTCTCTTTTTACATCAGTTCTTTTAGGTTAAAGCATTTTCTTCAGAATCTTATTCTCAAACTCCTCGCTTTCTGTTCTCAGTTTGCTAAGTTATGATATGAGGCAACAGCACTGAAATGGGTGAAACTGAGAAGAACAAATATAAAAAATAGAATTATGCATTCCGATGGATTAGATATTTATAAAACAAAGAGCGATTCTGTTACTGTCATTTCCTTTCCTACTTCAAACAGGTTGCATGTGCTGCTCTGCCTGTTTCATGCCTGCATACGTTTCTGATCCGAGATTAGGAAACGGGTCGATGGGAGGATGGATGAACAGTAACGTCCGTGTAACTTTGTCCACACAATAGCAATTGTAAAAATACCCACAAAACTGCACACTCTGTATGAAGACAGAGTACACTTACATGTAAATGTTTGTGCCCTCCACCGAAAAATGAAGTATAATGATACCATCAAATGTGATTAGGAATTTTTCAGTAATTCAATTCAATTCAATTCTTTATTATTTATGTGCCGAGTGGTAACAAGAACATGATAACTAAGAACTACATACCACAGAACATTAGGCCTATGAACAAACAACAACAACAACAACAACAACAATAATAATAATAATAATAATAACAATAACAACATCAACAACAATGAATTTTCATCAAACAGGTGGGTGTAGGGGTAAACCTCCAGAATTTTATTTGGGAGACGCTAGGTTTAAAGTCTCGGCCAGGACATCAATTATCCTAGCCAACGTTCTTCAACGTTTTCCTCAGTCCCTCTAGGAAAATGCCGAATTAATATTTCGATTAGGTAGCGAGCACTTTCTTCTAAATCCCTGCCAATTCATTATGAACCAAACATCTAACCACCAGCCACATCTCAGCCTGCGATGCTAACAGCGTTGTGAGCAGGTAAATCGAAGAGAGAAGGGAAATATTTGCTCGCAAAAAAAAAAATATTATTCAGCATTTTATGATTTATAAGAATAATCCATGGAGTAGAGGCTAAATAGAGCAAATAGGCATGCAAATACTTTTTAACTTACAGCGTAACAAATAGGATAAAAACAGAACTACAACATGGAACATAACGAAGTCTGTAGAAAGGAAAAGAGGCAGGGAGCACATAACCTATTTTTGTCGTATAAGTACCATTTACAGACGTCGTCCATAGTCGTTATAATCTCAGTCTTACCTGATTGTCAGGAAGCTGTTCTGTTGGAATAACGTAACAATGGCTGAGCAGAACTCTGAAGCTATGGACTACACTTTTTCACAGGTGACTGGCAACTATCACACCTCATACTGCAATAGTTCGTCTGAAAGCACATGCTAATTCGACTGTACCTCACTTCACAAAATAGCGTTTGGAACTAAATGTTTTGCCGCAGTCTCATAAGTCGTGTCAGTCACTTTCACTTATTCACAAATGCACATTACCAAAGAATTTAACGCACATTCTGAATCTAATAGTTTCTCTACGTTCACTCTGTGTGGCAAGGTTGTTATAACATGGGGTGCGCAAGACAGAAAGCATCCCAACACCCACCCCGCAGCACTTCCTCTGTCTCCTTCTGTCGCTATCGATTTATGTAATATGCACATGGCGTGTGTATGGATGTGTTATGGACAGGAACTACGTCATTGAGCACTGAATGGATTGACAGAGCAGATATTATAAATCTATTACCTTACTCAAATCATAATGAGGCAAATTTAAAGTTGTTGAATTCGCTTGCATATACTATATTATACAACGAGGACACTAGTAATAACGCACGCAAAGATAATATTCATATGCAGTACTTAACGAAGCTCTGAAAATACAATTGTAGGCTTAATGCCGTTCTATACCGTTCTTGCTCACTGATGGAATTCTCTTGGAGTAGTAGATTTGATTAATGCTTGTTCCAGTAAGAGCACTGAAACTACGATAAATTTTACCACTGAAATCGCAACAGGAAAGAACAGATACGGTAGGACAGGTCTCCCCGAAGGTCTTATGTTTAAGGTACTATCCTAGTATTCAAGAGGTCCCGGGTTTGATCCAAACCAACGTCATAAGTATTTAAAAAACGTAAATCAATCCCGGATCAGTATACGGAAAAAAGAGCACTAAACACACACTGCTAAATTGAACAACACACTAAAAAGGAACATGTAAGTACAAAATAACTCAACAACTAAGTAAATAAAGTTAGCTTAAAGATAAAATCATACTAATATATATATATACATATATATATTACAGCGAAACGGCCGTTAAAAAGATAGGACGAAAACACCCTACGATGCAAATTAACAACAACAACAACAACAACAACAACAACGTGTCTAAGGATGCTAAGAACAAAGGGTACAGTGCAGTGGTCTCCCCCAATAACAAAGTGTTGCCTGATGATGGCCCACGTGTGGCCGAAACATGTAGCAATGACATCAAATATACATAGTTAATGACATTTCAACTATTTAACAAACACTTTTCAGTGAATTAAATATATTTTAGTGTCTATCAAGAAAGGAGTGACTTCGTTGCATTACAGACGGAATACTATACAATTAAAATGCTAAAAATCCGTCAGTATATTGAAAACCAATGACACAATGACGGGAGCAGGAACAAATTCCGAAATGTCGCGTATAACAAAGGCCGCAGGCAAAACATTCGTATAAATGGAACAAGAACACTGATCGTGCAAACGTCTGGATTATGACATCGCGTAATTTCATATGCGATCTTGGACTAAGTTCTGCTTTTGCCTCTAACTTCATGGCATAAAATGGAAGCAACGGGCTGAATCGAAACGTTTCGTAACCACCTACAAACTAGACGGTATCATAGCTCAACAGATCATAATCTTAATTTTCACTGCCCAGAAAACTTGCAAATTCATTCAGGTGACAAATTTCTGCGTCTCGTTAGTTGACTGCTTTGTTTAAAGCCGAATAAACTTTGTTCATTATACTTTCTTCATTAAAGACATAAAGGTTACAGGCATGCCGTCATAAATCGGCCACCAAAGTCTCGTTCTTAAGAGCAAGGAGCACTAAGCAATTTGAGGTTGGCATTACAATAGGAGTGGCTTTGGCACACACCTCGTGCATTGTTGGTGGTGTGAAGCGGCATTCAAGGTAAGTTAAGGCAATTCTATGCAAAGAGATGTAAAAAAGTCTGGAAAATCTGACAGTACCACTGCACAAAGTCCATTCTGAGTCAGCAGCCCTTCTTGGATTAGGTTGTGCTTCACATACAAATTATTTCCGTAGTATCTGTTTCGAGCTTACCGACTCTTTTACAGTTCATTTTCCTTTTGTTTCTATACAATTGAACAAGTTTCACGTATTATAATTAATGTAATTATCTCCATTCACGGAACTTGCTTTCCGCAGCCAGTACGACTTGATCTAGTAATTCAGAGCATTAATTTTCAAGACATGAAGCCATGACATTTTGCCTCACTTTCTAGTACCTATGTTCTCTTTGTTTGATGCTTTCTTCTAACATCTAAAGCCACACTGAAGTTCACACTTCAATTTACGAATATATAGGACACCAACATCACAAAAAATACCTCTTAGAAACAATTAACATTCCTCCTTTAGTGTGTGTGTATATGTATGTATAATTAAAAAGTACTATGCCTTGATGACATATTGGGGAGCGGAAGTATAGCTCCACCATACTTGACTTCGGATCTAGATTTAGGTGAGTGGTCAGCTACACGCCCCGGCCACTTTACTCTCGGAGAGAGCTCGCCCTACTCGTGGGAAAGGAGGCGGGGTGGGTCCCAGAGCCGGTCTGGACATTATGGAGAAAAGAAAAATCTTACCTCTGCCGGCAGACCGGCTTTGGGACCCACCCCGCCTCCTATCCAACGAGTACCGCGAGCTCTTTCCCGGGGGCAAAAGAAAAATCTTACTCCTGCTGGGAATATTCATATATATAGTGTATATATATATATACCCCGACAGGGGTAAGATTTATCTCTTCTCCTTAGCGTCCAGACCGGCTTTGGGGCCCACTTCGTCTCTATTCCAGTGAGTACCGCGGGCTCTTTCCCGGGGGTAAAGTGGCCGGAGCGTGAAGCTCATCATTCACCTAAATCTAGCGCCGAGGTCAAGAATAGTGGAGCAATACCTCCACTCACCAGTATGTTTTCATGACATAGTGCTTAATTAATTAAGCACAGAGACAACCTCACTTTACATATAATTCTCCACTAGAGAAAGTCCATTCCTCCCTTGTCTTAATGTCCATACTCCGACAAAATCTAGCTTACACTTCGCTGAGTCGTCTTCTACTAATTTCAATGGATCGTACATCCCTTATCCATCGCTTCGATGTCGCTAAAACACCCGCCCAAGATCGGAACTTAGTGCAACATTTTTCACATTTTTGCGTAACAAAGACTGGGCCATAAAGACCCGCTCCAAGGCTAAGTAAGCTCGTCCTTTCATCTTAATCTAGAAGGATCTACACGTATTTCTCTTCATGGAGACATAAATATATATTTGACGGTTGTCACTTGGAGGCCTTTTAAATGTTCACGTCAACTTTTTGGTACTGTAATTTCCAGCAATAAAGGCAAAGCTATCCTTGTAAGAGGCTGTGGAGGCCCATGGGGTTGTGAGACGTTGAGGCTCACACATTTTCTCTAGACAATTGGCTGAGAGATGGCGGTGATTTTGTCAGTCTTACGAGCCGGCCGCCCTTTACCCCCCAGGAAGATTCCTGGTACTCATTTCTGTTAAGAGGCTGAGTCGAACCCCGGGCCATAGTACGGCTAGAAGGATTAGGCAAATTGAAAAAATTCACTTCATCGGGACTCGAACTCGCGACCTTCCGGCTTGTGGCATAGTGCCCCAACCAACTACACTACTATGTACCCCATATAATTTTCAGTACACAATATAGGTATTTCCAATTATTCTTACATCTTTCAATTTCTAAATGTATCTGTCAGAATTGGGCCCGCCTCTGTGGTCTAGTGGTCAGCGTTCCTGGCTACAGATCCAGAGGTCCGGGTTCGATTCCCGACTCTACCTAATTTTCTGACAAGTAGTGGGTCTGGAACGGGGTCCATTCAGCCTCGTGATGATAACTGAGGATCTGTTTCAAGGAAATAGCGGCTCCTGTCTAGAAAACCGAGATTAACGGCCGTGGGGATTCGTTGCGCTGACCAGGCGACACCCTCTATCCGCAAAACTTCGCCGACAAGCGGCGGTCGCTCGGTCGGTATAGTTCGCTTGAGGACTAAAATCGCGGAGTTTGTTTGTTTTATCTCTTAGAATTTTGGCACGAGGTAGCGTAGTTGGTTGAGGTAGTGTTAAAATCCGGAAGGTCGTGGGATCGATCAATTTACCTAATCCTTCCAGCCGCACTACGGCCCTGGGGTCGACTAAGCCTCTAACAGAAATGAGTACCAGGTTTATTCTTGGGGGTAAAGGGCGGCCGGCGCGTAGGGCTGACAGCCTGTGAGCCGATTGAGGGAACCTCAGCATCTCACAATCCTAGGGACCTCCACGGCCTGCTACAGGGATACCTTTACATTTTTCTCTCTCTCTTAGAATTACTCCTATCACTGATATATAAAACATCATTTCTGGTAAATATTTGACTTCTAGAAGGTGTAGTCATATAATCTGGATCATACAAAAATTTCGGATGAACCAGCTGCCTCCATCTTCAGGGTAGAACTTTCCTACCTCGAAGCAGGTTCCTTCGAAATGTTTGTAAGAAACTGCATCCAAGATGACAGTAATCTTGACAGTCACCGTCAAATCTCTCATTTTCAAACCGTTTCCATTATTCTTGAATCTTTCTTCCTTAACATGCATATTTCAGTGCCACACATCACATCCGGTTTCAAGAGGACATTGTGCTCTTCGTTTTTACTTCTCTTCTGACACTTCCATTTAATATAGATTATGCTCACATATATTTTCTTCTAATTCCGTGTATATGTCATGGTGCCGGGAAAACTCGGGTGATATAGCCGCTAAGCTACAAGCTGTACGACCGATGATTTACGAGTAGAGTTCGACTTCCGACAGGAGGAAAGAGATTTTTCTCTTCCCCACAATACTGAGAACGGTCCTTGGGTCCTACCAGCTGCTACCAGGGAGTCTTTCCCCTAATCACCTCCATCTAGTGCTGGTGTGAAGAATACTTGGAGCTATGACTCCATTCCCATATACATCTTCACGTCACGAGACAACTATATATTTTACACCGACATAATACATGCCAAATACTGTAGTGGCCTGGAGGGCCTCAGAAAACCACCAAATCCTGAGTTTAAACAGTCTAAATCCTGGTCAAGATTCATCCGGGTACCCCCCATACGCAAGCTGGAAGCCTTATGCTTGAGGGAGTTTGCTTGGTCATATTTGCTTTCAAGCAAAAGAATTTATGTTACTTATTATTATGTGTGTAGGTCCTAGTTGTGCTTCCCGGAGAGCAGCCAATTGTCTACCAGTAAATTGTTCCTTCTCCTTCATCTAGGTACA